CAACAGTATGGTCTGTAGATCAATCGATGATCCGTAAGTCACAACCGTGGTTCAACACTTGGTTAAGAATTCCCTGATCTTCAGCAATGTCTTTCCTGCCGTTCTAAGACTATCATCTATGGGGCGTAACTGGACCTACGGTACGTAAGTTGCTTCTGTAGATGCCCTTTTCTTCACTTCTTTCAGTCATGTCTTCAAGTTTCTGCGCCTGAACCTATTACCAAGTCTATCCAGTATGACTATATGTTTTGTTCTTTTGGGCTGTGCAAACCCAAGTCTTGTAATATATGAAATTTACCATTAGTTTTGAATGTTTGCGTGAAGCATGAACCGGCTGATTTCAGTACTCGAAAGTTGGTAATATTCTTGTTATCTCATACTTATGTGTGAGGTTAATATATGCATGAAAAGCTTATCAGCTATTTGCTTAAATTATTCTGGGAGGGTTTTTCTGCCATAAGTTAAATTCCGTACCATGTCAGTTTTAACATCAAATAAATTTTTAAATGGGCAAGATGTATATCCTTAACTAAATTATTCGTTATAAACCTAATCCCTCTACTAGATTAAAATCAATATGGCCATAATTAACCTCTTTTAAATGTCGCAAGTATTTAATTAGATTTCTTGTTTAAGTGGTAGTATCATTTTGAAAGGGTCAATACAAGTATTGGTATCAGAGCCTAGGTTTGTGGTTCTAGGACTTTTGCTGTGAATTACTTGTATACTTGTTCGCTTTCAAAAAGGTTCTATTTAGGGTTCTTGTTCACTTAAATGGTTTATCACATTTTTATTGCATGAAGATTGCACATGCATCTAGTACATGTCGCTAATGCAATGTGATCTCCCCTTTTGAAGGAATTAAGTCATGGCCTCTTCTTCTAACCGACCTATAGAAGTTGCTCATGAAGGCTCGGGTGCCTCTGTTTCCCAACCTCATGCACTAGAAGGTGTTGGAGAACATCTCTCGAACCAATATATTACCCACTCTAATGGGTCTGATATGGGAAACCATCAGGGTATAAGAGTTGGTCCACATCCTCACATGAGTCGTGGTCCTCAAGCCTTGGATCCTCCTTTTCAACAAATGGTTGTATTCTTCCACCACATGGCTGAATCGATGCATGATCCCAACAGGATTAGCTTTGAGAAAATGAGGAAAATGGGTATAGTGGAGTTTGAAGGCACTGTTGATCCCATTGATGTTGAACAATGGTTGGAGCACATGGAGAGGGTATTTGAGCAGTTGGAGTGTCCAGATGTTGCCAAATTTAAGTATTCTATTTCACTATTACAAAAGGATGCTTATGATTGGTGGGAAAGTGTTCTGAATGCCAAGGTAAAACCTCCGGTTCTTACTTGGGATGATTTTCGTAAGGAATTTCGTATGAAGTATGTCCCACATGCTTATTGTGATGCAAACAAAATGAGTTTTTGAATCTAAGGCAACGAGGCATGTCTATTTCTGAATACGAACAGAAGTTTCTAAGGCTCTCTTGCTATGCAGGAGGTATTATTAAAGAGGAAAAAGACAAGTGCAGGAAATTTGAAGACGGTTTAAATGATTCCATTAGGAAGAATGTGGCGATCCGGCAACATGAGAACTTTTGTAAGTTAGTGTCTGCTGCTTTTACTTGGGAACGACTTATAAAGAAGAAGCTAGTCGAAATGAAAACAAATTCCGAAAGCCTAGACCAGACTTTGGAGGTCCATCCAAAAGGGTAGGTTTGATGATTCTAAGGCTGGTAGTGATAACAGGCCACCTCAACAAAGGCAAAACAGATTTGAATTTTCTACAGCTAGCAATCCAAATTATGGCCAAGGCAAGCCTCGTGTGCCCACTTGTCCGCAATGTGGAAAGAATCATTATGGTACTTGCAGGAGAGCTTCTGGTGCAGTTTCAATTGTGGGAGCTTTGATCATAAAGTGAAGGACTGTCCTAATCCTCATAATGCACCTTCCTTGAAAACTGAAGGCTCAGTTCATAAGCCTTCTATTAATCCTCCTCAAACTAATAGAGGCGCAAGACTTAAAAATACCCAAGCAGCAGGTGCAAGTAGAGCTAATAAAGCTAGTGGACCAAGGGCTACTGCACGCACTTATGCTATGAGGCAGAGGGATGATCAAGATGGACAAGACGTGGTTGTCGATAAATTTCACTTATTTGGCTTATGTGTGTTTACATTGATTGATCTTGGTTCTACACATTCCTATATTTGTTCATCACTTGTTCTTCCTAAAAACGTGAAATCTATGAGACTTATTTATGATGTGCTTGTTAAAAGTCCTTTGGGTTATCAAGTTATGTGTAATTGAATTTATCGTGATTGTCCCTTCGTGATTCAAAAACTAGTCTTCCTTGCCGATTTGATTGAAATGCCCTTCAAGGATTTTTATGTTATTATCGGGATGGATTGGCTTTACAAATATCATGCAGTGGTAGATTGTAGGTCTAAGTATGTGACTTTTAAAGATCGTACATTTTCGCACATCATTGTACAAGGTAAAAGATCATTGACATCTAGTATTATTTCTGCGGCCTTGGCAAGAAAGTTGATGCGTCAAGGTTGTGGGGCTTACCTTGCTCACATAGTTGATACATAGTTGAAGAGTCCTTGTATCAAGGACATACCTGATGTATGTGATTTCCCAGAAGTCTTCCCAGAAAACCTTCCTGGATTACCCCTGGAAAGAGAGGTTGAATTTCCAATCTAGCTTATTCCTGGATCTAACCCTATTTCTATCACTCCTTATAAAATGGCTCCAGCAGAATTAAGACAATTGAAATCTCAATTGCAAGAACTTCTTAAGAAAGGTTTTATTTGACCTAGTGTTTCTCCTGGGGGAGCCCCTGTTTTATTCGTAAAGAAGAAAGATGGCACTCTTAGGCTTTGTATTGACTATAGACAACTGAACAGAATAACAATCAAGAATAAATATCCCCTATCAAGGATCGATGATTTGTTTGACTAACTGAAGGGTACTAAAGTATTCTCAAAGATTGATTTAAGGTTTGGATATCACCAACTGCATGTTAGAGAGATAGATATTCCTAAAACTGCTTTTAGAACTCGGTATGGTCATTGTGAATTTTTGGTGATGCCATTCAGATTGACAAATGATCCTGCGGTATTCATGGATCTAATGAATCGAGTTTTCAAGCCTTATCTTGATCATTTTGTAGTTGTCTTTATAGATGATATTTTAATATTTTCCAGAAGTAGTGAAGACTGTGATAAACATCTTCGGATTGTTTTGAAAATTCTGAAGGAGAAAGAACTTTATGCTAAACTTTCCAAGTGTGAATTTTGGCTTGATAAAGTGGCTTTTCTGGGACATGTCGAATCAACCGAAGGCGTGAAGGTGGATCCTAGTAAGATACAAGCAGTTGTTGAATGGAGACCTCCCAAAAGTCAAACTGAGGTAAGAAGTTTCTTGGGCTTAGCAGGATACTAAAGACGTGAAGGTGGATCCTAGTAAGATACAAACAGTTGTTGAATGGAGACCTCCCAAAAGTCAAACTGAGGTAAGAAGTTTCTTGGGCTTGGTAGGATACTACAGAAGATTTGTGAAAGGCTTTTCCATTATCGCTTCCCCTTTAACTAAGCTCTTGCATAATGAAATAAAGTTTATTTGGGATGACAAATGCCAATAGAGCTCTGAAACTCTCAAATCCTTGTTGACTCAAGCGCCTATACTTACTCTACCAATTGAAGGGAAAGAGTTTGTAGTATACAATGATGCTTCTCACAATGGTCTAGGATGCTTTTTGATGCAAGAAGGGAAGGTTATTTCTTATGCCTCTCGGAAATTAAAAACGCATGAATTGAATTATACTACTCATGATCTTGAACTTGCTGCTATAGTCTTTGCTTTAAAAATATGGCGGCATTACTTGTATGCAGAGAAATGTCATATATTTATTGATCACAAGAGCTTAAAGTACTTGAGTACTCAGAAGGAGCTAAGCCTAAGACAACATAGATGGCTTGAACTCATCAAGGATTATGACTGCACGATTAATTATCATCCAGGTAAAGCCAATGTGGTTTTAGATGCCTTAAGTCGAAAAACCTTTGCAAGCATTTTTTTGAGTCCTTTACCCTTGCTCTTTGAGTTAAGAGCCATGAATATATGTTTCACACTTGATTCAAATGGTTCAGTTATTGCTAATTTGCAAGTAAAGCCAATATTACTTGAACAGGTGAAAGAAGCGCAAAACTTAGATGAGAGACTTGTAAAACTGACCAAAGAAGTTCAAAATGGGGAAAAGCTTGATTTTACAGTAACGGAGGATGGTTGCTTATTTTATCAAAACAGGTTATGCATCCCTTGTGATGAAAAATTGAGAAGAGAAATATTAAATGAAGAACATACTTCAAAATATGCAATGCATCATGGGGGTACAAAGATGTACCAGACCATCAAAGAACATTATTGGTGGAATGGTATGAATAGAGACATTGCAGAGTTCATTTCCAAATGTTTGGTTTGTCAAAAAGTAAAGGCAGAACATCAAGTCCCAGCTGGTTTACTACATCCCTTGTCGATGCCCGAATGGAAATGGGAGAGAATAACTATGGACTTTGTTTCGGGACTTTTTCGCACTCAGAGAAATTATGATGCAATATGGGTGATTGTGGACAGGCTAACCAAGAGTGCTCACTTCTTAGCAATCAGAATGGATTACTCACTTGAGCGTTTAGTCGAGTTGTACATTAATGAGATTATAAGACTACATGGAATCCTTGTGTCTATTGTATCTCACCGAGACCCAAGGTTTACATCTAGATTTTGGGGTAGCTTGCAGGAAGCTTTGGGTACTAAGTTGAAATTTAGCACTTCGTTCCATCCTCAGACAGACGGCCAGTCGAAAGGGTGATTCAAATTTTGGAGGATATGTTTCGAGCTTGCATTATGGAGTTTGAGGGTAGTTGGGACAAACACTTGGCTTTGATAGAATTTTCTTACAATAACAGTTTACCAATCGAGTATTGGGAATGCTTCCCTACGAAGCCTTGTATGGAAGGAAATGTCGGACCCCTCTTTGTTGGAGTGAAGTTGGTGAAAGAAAGCTTGTTGGTCCTGAAATCGTGCAACAAACAGAGGACAGGGTAAAAATTATCAAGGATCGTCTAAAGATTTCTTCGGATAGACAAAAGTCGTATGCTGATCTTAAAAGGCGTGACATTGAATATCAAGTTGGACCAGTAGTACTCTTAAAGGTGTCTTCATGGAAAAAGATTATGAGATTTGGCCAAAAAGGAAATCTTAGACCCCAATTTATTAGACCTTATGAGATACTTGAAAGGGTTGGACCAGTTGCATATAAATTAGCTTTGCCACCGGAGTTAGACAATATCCACAATGTCTTCCATGTTTCTATTCTCAGAAGATATCGTTCTAATCCATCTCATGTTCTTCCAGCTGAATCTATTGAGGTTAATCCTGACTTGACGTATAATGAAGAACCTATTCTAATTCAAGATCGAGAAGTAAAGCAACTTAGGAACAAGAGAATCCGCTTAGTAAAGGTACTTTGGAGGAACCATTCTGGAAAAGAAGCTACCTGGGAGAGAGAAGAAGACATGAGAACCCAGTATCCGCACTTGTTTCTGGACTAGTGTCAGGTAAATTTTGAGACGAAATTTCTTTAAGGGGGAGAGAGTTGTAACACCCCAAAATGCTAACCAAGAGTCGCTTGTCGATACACCATTGCTTAATCACTACTGTATGTTTTACTCTCAATTTGGGAACTTGAAATGTTGTGATATTCGAAAACCTGCTTATCATACACTGTGAACGTAATTTAAGGTATTGTATGGGGGTATTTGCGTAATATTCTAATTAGAATTATGTATAACTTGAAAGGGAGGTGAGCGTTATACATATAGGTATATATGTATAGATTTTGGGCAGCCAACCTTTTTTTTTGGGTAGCCACCTTTTGGAGGCAGCGGTGCATGTGATAAACATCACTCTTGAGATTATATGTTTACACCTCCTCTATGGTGAAATGTGTGTTCCTTAGCTCTAAGAAAGCTGGTGAACTCTCTCTAACAATATTACTCTCAAAATCACAAGAAAAAATTGGTCCTTTTGGCTGGAATTCGAGATACACCCTTCTCTTTGGTGAGTAGTCGAAATCTGTTTTTGAGCTAAGTAGTGTTTAGTACTTTTGCAATATCTCGTTCTCTAAAAGTCACTTTTCAGTGAATAAATATGTTTTGGAAAGCTAATGCGTATACCTACAACTCTTATGTTTATGTAAAACTCTAATTTAGATGTTATAGATTCAAAATATGGGACGCAACATAGGACAAGTTCTGTCCAGATTTCAAATTTAGAAATCCTGTATGAACAACTGCTAGTATATTGATGATATCTTTTTGTACAAAATATATTTTGCGGTGATTTTTGATTGTTTTCAACATTAAGATATGTACCTACATCTTTCATGAAGGATGTACAGTCCAGTTTTGCCGTTTTCCTTTTCAAATCTAAGTTGCGACATGAGGTACTAGGCTGGCCAGGATTTGTTTTTAGGGTTGTATATACTCGTGAACAAGTTGAGAACCTTGATACGTTGGTTGGTCTACGGCTTGAACTCTTGAAGTGGTGTTGGACTGTTTCTAAGCTAAGCACTGAGGTTTGTGTATAAACTTTTACTTGCACTCTTTTAACTGCTGGTATATCTGAAAGTTGATCTTGGTACCTTGGTTACCTCTTGTCACTTTGCATTGTCGTGTTGGTATTATTTAAGACATTAAAAACACTTGTGTAACTCGCCCATTTGTACAGATTGTTTGATCACTTAGCACTCTTGTTGGGACCTTGTCCTTCTTGTGGCT